ATAGGTTAGACCTCATGATTCAGTCTTTCATTTCAGAGCTCAAGATGTTAATATAAAAGTGTTCGAAAGTAATGAAAAAAAGCTCGGTACATGCCTAGTCCTGCCTATCTTTCTGATTTTGAGACATATGCCGCTGCGACCCTGGAAATGTAAAGTCTATCTCAATCGGGATTTATAAAATAAGTTATATTCAATATGATTGAATGAATATTATTCAGAGCACAAAGTTAGAGAGAATCAGTGAAAATTAATCAATATTTTAATTTAACGCATTCATCAGTAAATAAAAATTTCTATGAATTTAATGTATCAAAGGCGGCTTTTATCGCATATGTTAAAGGAATAAATGTGTAAATATCCTATTGAAAGAAATTTCTAATCAAATATATTCTTCATCACATAGTATTTCTATATATATTTATAAAATGTATTTGGTGCAATTGAAACAATTTCAAAACCAGATATTAAATTTGATGATAATGCTTCAATTTTATATGTATCATCAATTGCTTTTGGAATATTAAAACCAAGATAAATATCTGCATATGTATATAGATAATCTATTCGCTTTTCTATATGAAAAAAATAAATAATAAACAAACAAAAAAAATTAATTCTTACGCCAAATATTTTTATTCATTTGAGATATAATTCCTAAACTTTGTTCTAATTTTGCATTATTAACAGTTGCATGAAAATATTTTTCTATACTTGAGTCTGTATTATATAAAATTGTATAAGGATTAAGTGAATTAATATCCATTTTAAATATTCCATTATCATTTCCATTACGGGATATTAAATTTGATAAAATATTATATAATATTGGCAATAAGAAAAAAATAATTGTTAATGCCCATCGATAATAACGTATACGTGTAGTTTTTATTATTAAACTATAATATTAATTTAACTGATAAAGAAAATCAGCAAGAAATTCACGATCATTAAATACAAGATGACATTGATCATCTAAATAAAGAGATAAAATCTATTTATTTGAAAATATTAAACATGATTATCGTCAAAGTTTAGAGATAAAATTAAATTGAGATGATTTCTCAAACTGTTGTATATCTGTAAGCGATTCTACCGATAAGTTATCACATATTATTTTATCATAAAAGACGAGTTTCCGACTTTTTTGAAAATTTATTCTGCTAACAATAGTAAACAGTAGAATGCAAATAACTTCCAACCAAGGAAGTAAAAAGCAAAACTCCAGTACTCTAAAGTATGAGTGAAGTACGATACACTACACTTCAAAGTACGGAAGTGTTGCTTTTACTCCTCTGGGTCCAATAATGATCGTTACGAGTTGTATTCTTTGATTAAATAGCCTTGTGATACGATCTAAGAGTCAGTCATAATGTGATTCTGTCAGAGTTCCAGTAGACTTGTGATATGAATAAAGCTCGTTGGATAGGCCCTGAACTGGAACCCAGTTTCGAAAACTTCTTATTGATGGAGTCAAACGCCGACTTGACGGATGCTATTCTAAAATTAAGAACCAATTATAATTTTATTATTATACATTAATGGGAAGATTGCTTGAGAAACATGTACGTGCTAGTCGTTAAATATAAAATAATCGAAAAAGTGTATCGTTGCTTCTAAGCGACCATCAAATTTGATTAAAAAAAATTGTTAGCGTAATCGCTCAAGAGTTAAAATATGAAACACATCGAAACTACAAAACTTGAAAATGAAGAAATTTTGTCACCATTTATATCAATTTATGATTTACAGTCAACTGTTATTGTGTCAGTCATAAAAGAGATTAATCTTAATTCATAATAGTGAGCGTGAAAGAAGGGAAAAAGATATATATATGTTGAATATAATCGTGTTTCATAATAATCCTGCAATAGGTTTCGGTCTCACGTCTATTTCTGGCATGACCTGTAGGGCAGAAGAATCCAAATTTCTGCGCCTATACTTCAAAACTTGTTTTAGATCGAATTCACAAAACTCCATTGGGAATATTAACAATGGAATTTCCAGTTCGAAAAAGTTTAATTAACCGAGTCCTGTCTGAGTTCCAGTTTGAAAAGTCTTGAATAAGCTGAATCTGAAATCACACCTTTTGAACCCAACGGTCTTTATATATGATCAGATCTGACAATAGAGATGTTTGTGTTGTCAGTTAAGAGCCAGTCCGTATCAGCCACGACCGACTTCATAGAGACCCTGCTCAATTGATGTCGTTAGATTTTTCTCAATTTAAGACATGTTATAGAGGGAAGTGTTTTATGATTTTTGACGCAAGCCGATTCAAAATATTGATCCCTCGGTTTTTTATGAGCATTTTACGAAAAGGCCTAAAAATGACCCAATATGTAAATGGGGGTCCTAATGCAACGATATATCACGAATGGCTTAACCAAATAAGCTGAAATTTTTTAATGCCATACATCTTAATGAATTCTATTTACCATAAAATTTTCGCTTTAAAATATTG